ACAGAATAGGTGCAGCTCTGGAGAAGTCTTGAAGGCGAGAATCAGAGGTGGGGATCCGGGCAGAGGATAGGCGCAGGTCTTGGGCTGAGCGCAGGGGTCTCGACGGGACATACTTGTGTATGAGGGAGGATAGGTATGTTGGAGCAGCATTATGTAGGGATTTGTAAGCAAGCGCCAGAATTTTGAATTGGGCCCTATATCTAACTGGAAGCCAATGCAGGGACTGACAGAGCGTGAAGGCGTGGGAGGTGCGACCGGACAGGAAAATAAGCCTCACAGCCGTATTCATTATAGATTGTAGCGGTGCAAGCTGGGAACATGTAAGACCGGTGAGAAGGGGATTGCAATAGTCAAGGCGAGAGAGAACAACAGCATGAACCAGTACCTTAGCCGCGTCCGGCGTTAGATATGGGCGGATGCGCGCTATGTTCTTGAGTTGGAAGCGACAGGATTTGGCTATCGATTGAACATGGGGAGTAAAAGAGAGATCAGAATCAAAAAGAACCCCTAGGCAGCGAACCTGGGAGGTAGAGGTGATAGTAGCGCCGTTGACTTGGATGTAGACAGACACAGGAGTGGCAGCACTTGAGGGAGGAAAAACTAGAAGTTCTGTTTTGGACAGGTTGAGTTTAAGGAAGTGAGCAGCCATCCAGTTGGAAATAGCAGAGAGGCAGTCAGAAACACGAGTCAAGGTGGGCGGAGAGAGATCAGAGGGGGACAGGTAGATTTGCGTGTCATCTGCATAGAAATGGTATTGGACGTCAAAAGAGCTGATGAGTTTACCAAGGGAGGCAGTATAGATTGAGAACAGTAGGGGGCCGAGGACAGAACCTTGGGGGACACCGACAGGGAGGTGTTGGGGAGAAGAGGCAGAGCCAGAGAAAGAAACACTGAAGGAGCGCTGGGAGAGGTAGGAGGAGCACCAGGAGAGAGCAGTATCCCGTAGACCAAAGTTACGGAGAATGCGAAGAAGCTGTTGATGATCAACAGTGTCAAAGGCGGCAGAAAGATCAAGGAGGATTAGGATAGAGTATTGGCCGCGAGATTTAGCAGCAGTTTCGACAGAGTGACCAGCGCGGAATCCAGACTGAAGGGGGTCAAGCAGAGAGTTGGATTCAAGAAAGTCTGTTAATCTGGCGTAGACAACTCTCTCGAGGATCTTGGAGGCAAATGGCAGTAGCGAGATAGGGCGGTAGTTGGATGGGGAGTTGGGATCAAGGTTGGGCTTTTTCAGAATTGGGGTTACGGTTGCATGTTTGAAGGCAGAGGGAAATGTGCCAGAGGAAAGGGAGAGATTGAAAATGTTAGCGAGAGGAAGAGCAAGAGAGGGAGACAAAGTGCGGATGAGATGCGAGGGAATAGGATCGAGGGAGCAGGTGGTGGGGCGGGAGGACAGGAGCAGAGCAGAAACCTCTTGTGCTGTAGCAGGTGCAAATGAGCTTAGGATGGCAGGGGGAGTGGGGTTGGGTGATGTATTGATACTGGTTGGAGAAAGATTAGAGATCTCTTTCCTGATTGTAGAGATATTCTCAGTGAAATGAGATGCAAAGTTTGTGGCGGACAAGGTGGTGGAAGGAAGGGGAGTCACAGGGCGAAGAAGTGCATCAAAAGTGTGAAACAGGTGTTTGGGTTGGTGGGACAGTGTGCTTATGAGGGTGTTGAAGTAGCTTACTTTTGCAGAGGAAAGAGCCATGCTGTAGGAGCGCAGCATAAATTTATAGTGGACAAAGTCAGATGCAAAGTGAGACTTTCTCCAGCAGCATTCAGCAGTTCTGGAACATTTTTGGAGGTAATGGGTCAGCTTTGTGTGCCAGGGTTGTAGTTGGGGGCGCTTGCTGCGTTTAACTGTAGGAGGTGCCATGATGTCAAGTTGAGAGGAGAGAGTGGAGTTGTAGAGTGAGGTTGCAGAGTTAGGGCTGTTGTGATTTGAGAGGGTTTGGTGTTTACTGGAGAAGTGGTGGAGATCGAGAGAGTTGAGGTTTCTGCGAGGTTGGAGAGTGGATGGTGGTGAGATTTTGGTATGGGGTATGCAGACGCTAAGTGTTAGCAGATGGTGGTCAGACAAAGGAAATGGAGCAGTGGCGAGATCAGCACTGTTCAGGTTTGCTAGAAGTGGTCTTTTAAAACTCAGACTTGCAGAAACTCAGACATGCATAAGGCCTTTTCCTTCCAGCTGTAGGTGATCTGAGCACTGTTCAGGTTTGCTAGAAGTGGTCTTTTAAAACGCAGACTTGCAGAAACTCAGACATGCATAAGGCCCTTTCCTTCCAGCTGTAAGTGATCTGAGCACTGTTCAGGTTTGCTAGAAGTGGTCATGTTCCTATATGCACAGCCAAAATGAAGAATTACAAAAAAAGAGGAGGAGCATGATGGGAAAGGAAGTAGAAAAATGTGAAGTAGGAAAGAGTGAACAGAACCAAGATAGAGTTCCAAGTTTAAGGCAAGAGAAAAATTACACTAGATCTAGGAAAAAGGGGGGAAATGCAATCCCAGAATCAGCAATCAACACAGGGGAGGTTTCTGATAGAAAGACAAAATGTCAGTCACTCGTCCACCCACTGCCTACTTGAAAAAAACAAAAAACAGATTTGTAGAGGAAACATGATATTCAAATTGTGTGGAACAATGAACATTAGTGTCAACCCATAGCAGGTAGAAAACTGCCTTGAATAAAGGGTTATATATTTCAAATAAATGGAAACAAAAATGAAAATAAACAGCAACTGGATGAATACTTGCAAAAACGTAGTATTCAGAGATGTAATTCTTAATGTGTGGGGTAATATCTTCTTGATCGAAGAAGAGATTTGACTGTTGACATTTTGGGGTAAAGAAGGATTTTTTTTTCCTTATTAGTTGCAAGATTTGAGAGTGCTTCAACCTGTATGTTTTATTTTTTTGCCTTCTTTTGGATCAACTGCAAACACAGATGTTATGAAAACTGACTTGATGGATGCATGTTACATACTATGTAATTATGTAAAATAAATGCACATGTAAATAAATCAGAAAACCTTAACATATGGAAGCAAATTAATATAATAATTCCAGTATATAAATTATTATATGAGTAAGTATTTTAACTTAAACAGTGACTTAATCCAAAATATCAAGGAAACGACTTTGAAATTATTCTAAAACTCATCATAGAAAATCTTGCTCTATTTCCTAATCATAAATAGTAGACTTGCAGATTTGTTTAGGGCCAAAGTACAATTCATCTGAATTTGAGACAATCCGTTCATCAATAGAAATTCAGTTTTTATAAACCAGCAAATGACATAATCTGGGAGAAACCAATTAATTGAAGCCCAGACATGTTTGTTTCGATTTGTGATTTAGAGTGCCATATCTGGCACCAAGAAAAAAAATTGGGATGGAATGGATAAAAAAACTGTAGGTTTTTTTTTGTTTTAGTTTGTTTTTTCATTTTTTGGTGGAGGCAAATAAGCATTTTTTTGCCATGATTGACAAGAGGTCTGTCCAATCATGTGCTGTATATCTTGTCCAATCAGGAGGATTGAAAGAAAAGATGATTGATGGTTAGGAGACAGTCAATAAATGTTGAATTTATTCACAGATCAAGAGACAAATGAGCAATAGAGGGGAAAAAGGAGGCGCAGTAACACAATCTATACTTACAAGTAGGATTCTTCCAATTAATTTAGTTGCAGCAATTTAGAAACAGTCATTGTTTAACAGATACTATAACAACATTCAACTAAACAAGCAATTTAACAGATATTAATTAATATCAGCAGTTAAATATAAATGAATCCTAAAATAATCCAGTACAGACCAGACAAAACTTTAACTTCTAACTAAAAATTACATTAGGACTGAATAGCCAAACAATTTTTTATACAAAGTATTTAGAGCTAGTTAGAAATACTCTAAAATACAGACTGACCACAAACTCTACAGATTTAGAGGAAAGTTGAGAGAATAGAAAATCTCATATCTCAATTACAACACTTTGCTGCACATTGTAGAATATGTATTTCAAATTTTGTTGAAGTAAAACAAATTTGACTTAGTTGCAATGCATGTCCTGGCAACGAATACGTGCATGTAGGAGCAAATCAAACGCATTCTGTTTGCATCTAAAACTGAGGCACATCCTACTCATCATTTCCACTTACTGTTACAATGGTTTCAAATTGCCACACCCTTCCCAAGCACCCTGGTCATTGGGCCTCCGCATGTGTGCACTGCATCCAGTGAGCCAAGATGGCCACCACTGTCAAATAACACTTATAGGTCAGCGCTAAATAACCAAAAATAGTAGAAACAAGGCAGCAACCCTAGAAAGGGAATCCCTCTCAACTCTAAAAGAATGTTACACAAGAGATAAAAAGAGAAAAGGGCTGCACCAAATCAAAATTATGATAGCAGGAAATAATAATGTCACACTCACTTGGAAAAGAGCTATGGCCAGCCCTAGCATGTATTGCGTACAGTGGTACAATCCCCACATATAGGATATGATGAGGGGCATCCACAGCAGTAGGTATCTAGATGTTCAAAAGAGAAATTAATAGCAACAAATAGTGCTCTCAATAAGACAAAATTGTATAAAATTAACACAAAATTATAATCACAAGAGTAGAGCAGGCTCACTGCTCTATGATGATAGCGGTGGTGGTATGTTCCCCACCTAGGATTTCTTGAAAGTAAAAATGATAAAAAATGATGATAACAAATGCCAGGAGGTATGAAAATATTAAATAGGGTATTACATATAAATGTGATGGCACAATATGCTATTGTGATAACCAAAATAATTTATTAGATAAAATACAAAGTATCATCCATAACGCGTTTCAACAGTATAGGCTTTTTAAAATGGAAAAAAGGGGGCGTGGCCTGACCACCGAGAGTAATGGCTGCTTAAGCTCAGAGCTCTGCGCCCTGCACCACCCAAAACGCCACGCAAGAAGCACTTACATCCCTGCCGACGTTCCCAAACTCCTCTCACCACAAGAGGGACATACCGGGAGATGGCGACGCACAAAAAAAGCGGCAAAAAACCGAAGGAAGGTACCCTGTCAGTGGCCGACCTCCTCGCAACGCCTAGACCTCATGTAAGCAAAGATGGCGGCGGCCAGATAAGCGCGGGCTCCCCAGACTCCCCGAGCAACGGAGAGCACAGGCACCAACCCCCACAGACGTCCAACGCAGAGATTCTTCAATCCCTGGCAGAGGTAAGACACTACCTGGCAGGGGAAATAGAGAGATCTGCAAGGGAGGTCAAGGAGGAGATTCAGTCAGTGGGGCAACGCACAGAGGCCTTAGAATGGAGGATGGACCATGTGGTAGCGGCACACAATGAAGCAGCCTCCACCACTAACCACCTCATCACAAGGGTGGCTGAACTAGAAGCAGAAATTGAGGATGCCTCAAATAGGTCCCGCAGAAATAACTTAAGGGTTAAAGGCCTACCGGAAAGAATAAAAGATGCTGACATACAGAAGGTGCTCCTGGGGCTATTTAAAGAGCAACTACCAACCATACCAGAACACCTGTGGACCATAGACAGGGCACACAGGGCACTAAGAGCAAGAGGCCCTCCTGACAGCCCCCCCAGAGATGTAATAATGCGGTGGCATTTCTTCTCTACCAAGGAAGCCATTATAAAAAGCGCCCGCCGCCACACTTACTCACTGGATGGCTCCACAATACACCTATACCAGGATATAGCACCCGCCACACTAGCCAGGAGAAGGGAATGGAAACCCATAGCCGACCTAGTCAGGGCCAAAGGCCTCAACTTCGCATGGGGCCACCCCTTCAAAATGCTAGTATTCAACGGACCGAGACCGGACGTACTTCTACCCTCAGCGGACCCTAAAGCCTTCCTCCGCAATTTGGGAATAGAAATCCCAGAGGATTTCCGACTCCCCCACAGAGGTACACAAGCATTGGGACAACTACCCAGAGAAGAAGCGGCACAGGACGGCGGTGTAAATTGAGGGGCCCTCAGAGGCCTCCTCCCCAAAAGGCATTCCTAAACACAGACCTAGACAGACCTAGACCGCCCTAATCCTTTCCCCAAACTGCCCCTAAAACTAAGACATAAACCCAAGTCACGGACGATAATACAACAAAACACAACGACATAGAACAACGCTGATACAGAGAATACACCTCAAATGGAAAACGACAATCAACAAAAAGAATGAACGAAGGAAAAGAATTAACATAGATGCCAACTGGGAACTTGAACAGTCGCAGAGCCCTGGACTGAGAGGAGCTGTAGGGGCGTGAGGGGGATGGGGGGGCGAGAAGAGGTGGGAAGGGGAGGGGAAAAAAAAAAATATATAAAAAAGAAAAAATAATAAAAAAAGAAAAAATAATAAAAAATCAGTAATTATAAAAATATACAAGGAAAAAAAATATATATATATAAACGCACACCTATAATTACGAGGGTGGGAGGGATGGAGGGGGGAGAAAATGGGAACACAACAATACAAAAATAAATAAATAAATAAATTTAAAAAAAAACCTTAACACGCACACTTCGATCGGAATACTGAACCGGAGACGACGGACCAAGTAGTAAGAGGACTTAACACACCGGGATGCGGTGTAATACTGGACTAAAGAGTACTCAACGCAGCATTACGGACTCTAACCTTACCAAGGCACGTCTATAACCAGGACAGCACCGGTGACAACCAGGGAAAGGGACTTGGAACCACAGTGTTGCCCCAACCCAATAGGCAACGAACCGGATGATCGGGAACATCACTGACACCACCTGCCACGCAAGTGTACATCCCTTCTCCTCCCCCCCCCCTTTTTCTTTTTTCTCTTTCCCTCTCTATTTCTTTGGCACTATGCTTCCCCCCTGCTCTTCTCTCTTGCTCATGTCCTAATCTCCAACATAACTAGAAAATGATAATGGACGGGAGGGAGAGATACAACCTCTATGTTCTATCTCTTTAATGTTGCACATCTGCGATTGTTCAAAGTAATGTAATGATTGAACGTATAATATAATGCTGTTATCTCTGTACACACGTGACTTGACATGAGAGGACACACAGACCCCACAACCTAATAGGGAACTGACGTATATGTACATGGAAACTCTCACTTGGGTCGGCGACAGGGTGCTCAACGGCTGATTGTCCCCTCCGTGCTACACAAAGTACCCGCGGGGCGGATAGCCACCCCCCGATACACCCGGCGCGACTAAGACCGGGGATAACCCCCACCACACCCTGCACCCCCCCCCCCACTACACGGGCCTCCCAGAACCCACGGATCCTTGAGGGAACCGAGAGCTCGCGTTCCCCCGGGGATAGTCACAACCCCCTCCCCTTCTTCCTTAACCCTCAAAACCTCCCCGGGGAGGATCCCCTCCCCTACCCTCCCCCATCCTCTTAGAGACTAGGAGAGATAACTCTCCCTCGCTTGCTGACCCTCACGCATCGCTCCTCGCGGGGGCGTGCGGCGGATAAACCTGACCCCACCAACCGCACTTCGGGCGGGACCTGGGCAGACTATGGCCACGCTTAAACTAACCTCCCTAAACGTTAACGGCCTTAACACTCCGACCAAATGGCGTCTATTAATGAGAGAACTAAAACGGCAAAAAACAGACATAGCCTTCATACAAGAATCACATATACTGCGCTCAGTCCGGATTCAGCTAACTGACCACCTCTACACCAGGGCATACTCCTCCAGAGCATTGGTGAAGAAAAACGGAGTAGAAATACTCCTGCACAAAAAATGCCCCTTTGTCACCCAAACGACACAAGTTGACACTATGGGTCGGTACATCATCCTCACCGGGACGGTATACACCACCACATACCATCTAATTAACATCTACGCACCCAACCACCCAGACCCAGACTTCTGGGACGACCTATACAACCGGATACACGCGCTGTCATACGGAATAATAGTCCTGGGGGGCGACATGAACGCAACTCCCAGCCCGCCAGTCGACCGTAGCTCACCGACAGGGGGCCAGAGAACACCTAGGGCCGGGGGACAGGACAAACTACTATCCCAGTTCATACACAAAACGAAATTGCTCGACCCCTGGAGGTTGCGGCACCCAGGACAGAGAGACTATACATTCTTCTCGGCGGCACATTCCACATACTCCCGCATAGACATATTCCTGGTCAACCAGAGAGGGATCCCATGGATCCAATCTGCACGAATTAACCTCATCACGTGGTCGGATCACGCCGACATCGAGCTTATTTTACGACTCCCGGGGCCCAGGCCACCATGGAAATGGAGATTGAACAGCAGACTTATCAAAGACCCTGAGGTGACAAAACTAATCCGGGACGAAATAACAACCTACTTTAATGAGAACGACAGGCCGGAGGTGACCCAAACTACGATCTGGGCCGCCCACAAGGCGGTCATCCGAGGCACCCTTATCAAATTAGCGACTCGGCGGAAAAAACAGAAGGCGGAAACCCTCTTCGAGCTCCAAAAGGCGCTTAGGAGGGCAGAAGCCAAGCATAAGCAAACTCCCTCGACACGGGGTTTGCAAGACCTTCGGGCACTCCGACATACGATCCGAACCTTGGCGATCGAAGACCTGGGAAAGGATCTAGTCCGTAAAAAACGCCTTTTTTACGAACGCGCTAATAAGATGGACACCCTCTTAGCCAGGGCCCTAAACCCCAAACAACAATTCAAGGCCATAACGGCGATTAGGGACAAATCGGGACAGATGACACATAACCCCAAGGAAATTAATCAAATCTTCTCGGAGCTCCTAGTAAACATATATAACCACTCCCCAGAACTGAACAGCAACAATGAGTCCCACAAACGAACGGTCACAGACTACGTATCTAATACCCACATGAAGAGCCTGACGCAGGAAGCCATACTTGCCCTGGGCGCACCGATAGAGGGGGACGAGGTAGATAGGGCAATCACAGCACTCAAAGGGAACAAGGCTCCGGGCCCAGACGGCTACGATGGTTCCTACTATAAACTCCTTAGAGACACGTTGACCCCAAGGTTGGTGAAGGTATACGGGGAATGGATGGACGGGGGACACCCTAACCCAGAAACTCTCACAGCAGATATCACCCTCATCCCTAAACCAGGTAAAGATCCTACTGAGGCCGGGAACTATAGGCCTATCTCACTGATTAATTTTGATGTTAAGGTGTTTGCAAAAATCCTAGCGACACGCCTCAATCCCCTCCTAGGCACACTGGTCCACCCAGACCAAGTCGGCTTTGTACCATCGCGACAACTATACGAAAACACCAGGAGGGGGGCGGATGTCATATGGTGGGCGGTGAGGACCCGGACGCCTTCTCTGATCCTATCCCTGGATGCGGAGAAGGCGTTCGACAGGGTCCAGTGGCACTACCTCTTCTCACTGTTAGGGCACCTACGTATGCCAGAAACATTCATACAGGGAATAAAAGCACTTTACACAGAACCACAAGCCCAAACAGCGGTACCGGGGACAGCACCGACTCCGTTCAAGACTGCCAACGGCACCAGACAGGGCTGCCCCCTCTCCCCCCTGCTGTTTGTCCTAGCACTGGAGCCTCTTCTACTGAGGATAAGGGAGGATAGGAACATTAAGGGCATTAGGGCAGGAGGGGAGGAATACAAAGTCTCTGCATATGCGGACGACATCATGGTCACACTTGCCAACCCTAGGGGTTCCCTGCCACGCCTCCTCGACCTCCTCGAAGACTACGGACGGGTATCGGGCTATAAAATTAATCTAGATAAGTCAATGGCCATGCCACTAGAAATGGAGACAGCAGAGATCAATGCCATAAAAGCTAACCACTCCCTCAACTTTATAAGAACTGACATCAAATACTTAGGGATTAAACTAACGGCAGACCCGGAGAGACTGTATGAAGCAAATTACACACCCACATTACAAAAACTACGACAGGACTTAGAGAAATGGCAAGACAAGCCAATCTCATGGATAGGGAGACTACACGCGATAAAAATGACATTGCTACCTCGCCTGCTGTTCCTATTCCAAGCCCTGCCGATCAAAGTCACTAAACGGGACCTAACGACGCTGCAAAGACACATAGATAACTTTATATGGGCACAGAAACGACATAGAGTAGCTAGGCAAGTGTTATACCGACCGAAATCAAAGGGAGGACTAGGACTCCC